CAATATCTATATCTCTACTTCTCAATTTGGTTGCTAGATGCAAACGACTTGGCCTAGCGGTGGAAGGGGCTTGTTTCCTTTCACTGTACCTGGGTTCGAGTCTTAGTGTACACGTCTGTCATCCCCGTGGTGCCTTACATGCCTACTGGATTTGCAGGGTATTCAGTGGGCCGTGGGGATTAGTTGTGGTGCGCGCAAGCTGGCCCGGACACGCCATGTAAATAAAAAAAAAAAATTGGTTGCTAGATAAATGTTATTTAATTTTTATTTGGTTTTCACATAAAATAATATTTTTTTTAATAATATATGTAATTTATATAATATTTTTTTATTTTATTCTGTCACTTTCACATTTACATCTATTTCTATTATCATTTAAATAAATAAAAAAATTATTTTATTAAACAAAATTATTAGATATAATTAGAAATATGGGTCATGCTGCAAAATTAAATATCATGAATTGTATATATTTTTCATTTTTTATAATATAGCTTTTAGTTATCATTAAACTTCTTTTTTTTTTGTATTTATAGGTAGAAGTGGTTCTCAATTTATTTAGATAAATGCAAATATAAACCTTTTAATTTATAATTAAATTACTTTATTTAAAAAGTTATAAGACCGGCAGTGAATAGCAGGCTAGATGACTATTGCTTGTTTTCACTGTTTCTTATTCATTATTACTAGGAGGACTAAGATGAAAAAATGTTGCAGGTGCCGGGATTTGTGATAGTGACCATAAACGACTGCGTTTTCCTATCCACAAAGGACGGGCTAGAATTCAAATTTAAAAATAGCCTCGCTATTATCTAGGAAGCTTACTGAGCTACCATGCCTCCAACTTTGAATTCGAAGCTTATCGATGCGTACCGGCAACTGCAGTCTCCGATATTCTTATTGCCAGACAGCTAAGGTGACGTGACGTGGTATCACGGTTCCTATGAACAGATTGCCGATCGAGATGTTTTGAGATCTTAGTCAGCCATCTTAAAAAACAACCCCTTTCAAAAAGGGACTAAAATAACTTCTCATTCTCGTAATAATGATTACTTTCGTTTGTATTATGGTAAACCTACTTTCCTGCCCCGTTAACTACGAACTGCTGATAGCACCTTTGTTTCAGTATTTTAAAATAGTTTTCAAGAAATTTAATTTTTAATTTTTATATTCTAACATTGTGTTGATGTTAAAAAAAATTAAGAATTAAGAATTAAGAATTAAAAATATTATTTTAATATATTTTTAAATAAAAAATAATATTTTATTTAGTTAATTTATTTCGGTTTTTAAATTAAGACTTTGAACGAAGAAACCGTAGAATATATTTCCTGTTAGTGGTTTTTGCGCAAGTTTATGCCATCCTTTTCACTAACGACACCTTTTACTTGGTTAATTTAGATGAAAAGGTTTCGTTCCAAGACATACGAGACTGCCAATTTCACCAATACTAACACAGGATAATATGAAGGAGAAGAAGCTGAAATATCATTTTTAATTATTTGATAATAAAAATGGGTGTATCAACATTTCATGCTATTGAGGTGACAGAATCACTCGTTGTTAAGGTTGAACTGAGTAGGCGGGGCGATAAAATGAAAGAGCATGAACTTTGGATGGCTTGCTGCCATTCCTGTACCGAAAGCTTTTTGCCTTTCGCCATCGCGGACGGCCACAAAAGCAAAGCTTTTTTTTTTGGGCCTTTGCTTAGCGGGTTTTCAATATGTTTTTAACTAGCCGTTGGCGGGCCTTGCCCTCAGGTAAGTGGGCGGAGGTCGAAACTCAAATTAAGTGAGAACCTAAAAGGAGCATGAAGCTTTTGAAAAGGAAACATGGGAAGGAGAGGATCGCCGACTCCCAGCGCCACATGGAAATTTGTCGACGTTTCACATGGAATTAATGTTTTGAACTTTTGATCGGACTAAATAGTCAAGGGTCTCTGATAGTTTCATGATATATCATGCACAGCCTCGTGTCTTCTCCTTGTATCCAAGATAAACGAAACATGACATTAATCGATTCTTAATACGATCGATGATTAAGCAGGTGATTATTGCAGCTCTAATCACCCTACTGTAGTTAGATGCATAGTGCAGGGGAGGGACATGGGAGTGAGGCAATTCAAGTATCTAATCGGAGATAGCAGCAATCACTGGACTACGATATCTGCGCTCAAGTCAAGGTCGTAAGATATTTCTCAACGTCGATTAGTTGAAGTGCAGGTGGTTGGAAATGGGTTCTCAGGGCCTCTCTCTGCTTAATCGAAATGCTTTCTCGCACTGGAAAAAAAAAGAGGTAGAGAGGTTAGATGATTGGCTATGTAGATTTTTGTGGTGCCCTGCCCCCTTACAACTCAGTTTCCGTGACATGATCAATGCAGGGGCACGATGTTAGAGACAACGGTCAAACAAAACATTCTGGATCCTCAACCTTTTTCATAAAAACACAAGTCAGAAGGGTTAACATGTCTACTTTGAAGCAGTGAAAGAGAATTTAAGATGGTTAAATATTGCTGTTGGGTTAGGCAAGGTCCTCGGCTGCAATGCATGGAGAACGGTAAAAGCACTCTCTGCTGTTTATCTTTTTCCATGTCTGTCTCAAACGGCTATATCACCAAATCTCTATCTACCATCATGACCATTAATTTCCCATCATGTTTTGTAATATTATCATTCGTTAATCACTAGCCAAACTGGCCTGCCCTGAGTCCCCACTCCCATCCAGGAGACAAAACACAAGTTTACGGTCGGCCGTCCTTTTAAAAAAAATTATTATTTATTATTGTTATGTATTTTTTTATCGTTATCTTGATGTGAAAAATGAATTTTAATCATAACGAATTAACCACCATTAATAAACACGGGCGGGCCTGCTGATCATAGCATCTGCTTTTTGTATGAGATTGGGTGCTGAAAGTGGGTCACAACCAACGGTAGCAATTAACTGGGTCTGAAATGGCTATTTATCCAATCCGATCCAATAAACACCCATTGAGAACATAAATGTTCAATGAATATTAAATCATGAATATCACTAAGAAAATACATGCATGCAATTTTTTTTTTATATGCATATATAATTCATTCATGTCCTGCTGACATCCGCTAATTTTTTTAATAAGAAAACCTTGCCATGCAAAGACTTGGTTGCAAACAAATTTAATATAGGGAGTTAAGTGTTTTTTCTCTAAAACACACGAGGGCAAAAAACTCCAATACAAGGATTTATTTGTAAAACAAGTACAGTTGAGGATCAAAATGACTTTCCAAAAACTGCAGGAAGTGGAAACTAACGAAGATTAAATCTTGGCCAGTGTGGATGGTATGGAGTGAATATATTCTGGGTATAGATTTGGAAGCTGATTTGCCATTTTCTATATTCTGGGTGTCGACCTGGAAGGTGATCTACTAATTTCCTATAAACAATACAAGCTGTATATTTCGTAGTGGATGAGATGGAAGATTGATACAATGGACCGATATCTACTAGAATCTTAATCAATAGTTTTAGATCTTGAAATTAAAATTAATGATGAGATTAATTTTTTTTCCCTACCATGTTAATTTCGACATCAACAGTGAAACAGTGATTTATTTTTTCTGTAACGTTTTTAGGCTTATTCAAAACTTTGCAACTATCATTACCTGCTCGCTACTATACTGCCTTTTAAATGGCCTGTATTCCCTTAAAAGGTATTTTTACAACTTTATGAACCTGTAGAAATGCCACACGTAGCAATTTCTTTTTATATTTTTAGAAACGACTTTTTCGGTCTTCCTGGTTGGTAGTATACCTCACTAAATATATAGTTCTGATTATATTTTAAAATTTTTTTATTTAAAAAGTATTTTAATAATTTTTTATATTAATATATTAAAATAATTTAAAAATATTAATTTAAAATAAAATTTATTTTTTAATTTTTTTTAAAACATAAAAACAAACAGGATTTTATAAATACTTCAAAGATTTATATTAACTAGGAGAAGGTGAAGATTACAAGTATCATTATTTTTTTAAAATATTTTTTATTTAAAAATATATTAAAATAATATTTTTTATTATTTTTAAAGTTATTTTTGATATTAATATATTAACAAAATTTAAAAATATCAAAATTTTTAATATAAATAATTTAAAAATATCAAAAATTTTAATATAAATTTAAAAAATAAAAATAAAAATAAAATATTTATGAAAAAAAAAACTTGGAGATTGTCGCCTATTGGTTTCGATGAATGCTCAAAAGAAAAAAGAAAAGGAAAAAGAAAAAGAAAAGACCATATCCCTATGCATCAATATACTGCGCTAGAAAGAGGCGATGCAAACTCAAATTTATTTTTCAACGTCAACCTAACCCACCCGCCGTTCTATCAATTTTCTATTTCCTTGCATGAGAGTTGTTACAGGTGAGCATATAAATGCTAAATAACTGCTCTATAATTTCTACTAAATGAATACTTTGAGTGCAGACGCTTTAGAAAAATAAAAAAACGAAAACAAAACGTGAGTGTAAACCTTGTACTTTCTTTCCCTCTAGTGCAATGCTTGTGTTGCCTCTCTTTTGTGAGCTCATGGCTAAAATACCTTCGTTAAAGATTACAAATTATAGCAGGACAAAGATTCCGAAAACAAGTAGAAAAGGAAAGGCATAAATCATTCCAGTTCCTAATACGAAGAAAGACGGTATAAAAAATTCAAAAAGTGGACGTGGCCATGGGTGAAACAAACAGGGCAAGAATGTAATTTGAGAGGGCATTGACTCATCCGTCCGCTTACAGCCACCTGACCTTATTGTTTTAATATTATTCTGAGCGTATTCTCTGCTCAAAGACCGAAAAAAGTCCTTGTTAATGTGTTTTTTTAAAATTTAGATTTTTTTAATATTTCTATTTTATTTTATTATATGAATAAATTTTAAAAAATAAAAACATATTTTAATATATTTCAAATAAAAAATATACACTAGGAGAAACAAAGCAAATAAAAAAACAAAGAGAGACGTTAGCTCTTATGGCATGTGATCCTTTGACAGCAGTTTGCCTTTTGATCTTCAAAAATCAAATTTTGAAGCTGGACAAACAGAATATAAATATAAAGATCAAACCCCCTCAACGAAAAGAAAAAATAATCTGACTGATCCTCTTTCATTTCTTGTAACCACTTGGTTTATTGCAACCTCAAAATCATGAGCCACATAAATATAAAAAACCCATGTTCTTGTAGTGGCAACTAGCTAGTGGAATTATGGTTTTGGTGAATCCTACAACGAAAAGTTAAACTTCCCTTTTTTGTTAAGAATGGAAACAACGTCGAAGAAGAGTTGTGGTGGGGGAGGATTTGAGAAGAAGAGGAAAGATGGGTCTGAGTTACTGACCGATTCAAGAGAGAGTAGCAACTCGAGTTGTGGGAGTAGTTCTAGTGAGGTAGCTAAGACAAATAATGGGCGTGCTTCACCATCTCCTCTGGGCTGGCCTATAAGGGAATCTGGAGAGTGCAAAAGCTTGGTCTCTATTGGAAATGGAAGTGAAGAAAAGAAAGCCCATATGGAGGATTTAAAATTCAGAAAGCTAGGATCAAAGCTTTCAGGTTGGTTTTGGTGCTTTTTTACTTTTTTTCAGTTATAGATACATGCCTCTCAAAGTTTCAAAAAATTCAAATTTCAAAATTGCCATTTTTTTTTTTAATTTTTTGAGTGAGGTATATGCCCACTTAATGATTATTAGGAAACTGACTTTATCTCCATTTCGTTTGGGGGTGATTTTGTGTAGAGATTGATATGATGAAGGAGAGGTTTGCAAAATTGTTGCTTGGTGAGGATATGTCAGGGTCTGGAAAAGGGGTTTGCACAGCTTTGGCTATATCAAATGCCATCACCAATTTGTGTGGTATGATCTCTTTCTCTCTCAATCTGTGTTGTGTGTGTGGAGCCTTGGTTCCCAGTTCTGCAGTTTCATTTTAATTTGATCTTGGTTATACAACATGTAGGTCATGTTTTTGGGCAACTGTGGAGACTAGAGCCATTGCCTGCAGAGAAGAAATCAATGTGGAGAAGAGAGATGGAGTTACTTCTTTGTGTTGGAGATCACATTGTGGAATTAATACCCTCCTGGCAGACATTTCCTGGTGGTAGTAAGCTTGAGGTAATTCTAATTATGGTCCCAATTTTAGAAATATACAATGGAAATTTGCTCGCATGGTCAAGGAAAAGAATAAGAATCTTAGAACAGAGCTTAATTAAGCAATTTTGGCTGTTGGATTATAGTTGCTCTACTGTTCTGATGATAAACCGACATAACATGATTATAGTTGCTCTACTGTTCTGATGATAAACCAACATAACATGACTGTAATATATGCTTCTACTCCCAATCCGTGTATTTATTTTCAACAATCTGATAACTGATTCTTGAACTGTGTACTGTTTATAGCCTAAAATTTATTCTAGGCTGTATTCAAGTTGTCGTTTCCGTACCCTTATGTGAAGAAAGATTGTGCTAGTTGAGATTTTTAGGATAGGGTCCCGAGAAAAAGAAGATCCAATTAATTCATTTTAAATGAACTCAATTTTTCCTTTTCTTTTGTTTGTTTTTCGATGTAATTAGTTTCTGGATTTTGCAGGTCATGACTTGCAGGCTTAGATCCGATCTTTTTATAAATCTACCAGCTCTGAGTAAACTAGACAATATGCTTCTTGTAAGATTTAGTTCTATTTGTTACTTTAATCCCTCTCTCTCTCTCTCTCTTTATATCTGATCATTTTGGAAGTCATTAGTCTGTTCCCTTCAATGACAGGAAGTTTTAGATAGTTTCACGGACACAGAGTTTTGGTATGTTGATCAAGGGATTGTAGCCCCAGATGCAGAGGGGTCAGCCTCTTTTCGTAAAACAATACAGAGGCAAGAAGAAAAATGGTGGCTACCCGTACCCCGTGTCCCAGCTGGTGGTCTCAGTAATGATGCAAGAAAGCAGTTGAACCACACACGTGAATGCACCAATCAAATACTGAAAGCTGCAATGGCAATCAACAGTGTTGCTTTAGCTGAAATGGATATTCCTGACTCGTACTTGGAAGCTCTTCCAAAGGTTAAATCTGGCAATGCACCAGATTTTTTTGTTCTGTTCCAATGTCAAACTTTGCTTGATTTTTTTTGTTACGTGATGGAATCAACACTGCATTCACAATTTTCTCAATATTTCCTAACTATATGCTCAACCTTCTCCATTGATCCAAATCTTTATGTTTCTTCCTAATAGTGTAGGCAGTTTCTGGTTTATCATGTGTTTAAATGTAAAGTAAACGCATTTCATGAATCTTCTGATTAGGCACAGTAACTTTCAATTATTTGCATAGATTATTCTGTGTTAAAGGTATGTGACAGTCGGTTGTTAATTTATTTTCAGAATGGGAGAGCTTGTCTAGGGGACCTTGTGTACCGATATATTACTTCAGACCAGTTCTCTGCAGAGTGCCTGCTCAATTGCCTTGACCTGTCATCTGAACATGTTGCTCTAGATATTGCAAATCGTGTGGAATCAGCAATTTATGTATGGCGTCGGAGAGCCCATTCAAGACCCCCACCGAATCCAAACCGCTCCACTACAAAGTCATCATGGGAGATGGTCAAGGACTTAATAGTTGATGGAGATAAGAGGGAATTGCTTGCAGGAAGAGCTGAAAGTCTCCTGCTTTCCTTGAAGCAGTGGTTCCCTAATCTAACCCAGACCACCTTGGACACCAGCAAAATCCAATTCAACAAGGTTAGCTCTCTCTCACCCTTACTTCAACCCCACCATCCCCACCTTTTCTGTTTCCTAAGTTCTTCGTATCAACTTGACTTGTTTTTCAACTTTTAGGATGTTGGGAAATCAATTATCGAGAGTTATTCAAGAGTTTTGGAGAGCTTGGCGTTTAATATTGTGGCCCGTATTGATGACTTGTTATACGTGGATGACTTGACTAAACATTCGGACAAATTGTCTTCGGTTCCAACTGTCAGTGTGATTTCTCACAAGAAGGTTTCAATTCCCTACTCTGTGCCTGTCTCAGGCACTCCATACAAAACAACATTTAGTACACCGAGCTTTTCACCTATGCCGCTTATTAGTCCTATACGGGGAGAGAGAACTCCATTCCTCCACAATATCACCACTTCCAACAACGATAACAACAAGCCTCACCGTCGTGGTTTTGGTGTGAAGAGAGTTCTGACGAGCTATCTTGGTGTTGATTCAAGACCAAAGATATGTGGTAATACAAACGAAGGATCATGTCCAAATCCAAAGACAAATCTAAGAGAGGATATGGGGCCGGAAAAGGGCTCACCGACCCAAAAAAATGTGACTACATTGCCTCAAAGTGCTCCCAAATATATTGTAACCTGACAAGGAAAATTGAAATACAGCTTGAGAATTAGGATTGTTCGTTCATGCTGGAGAGAACCTTCTGATATTTATTGTTGTTTACGATTTTAATTTCTTCTTTTCGTTCTTGATTGTTACTGTCAATAGCTTTGTATGTAAACCAAAAAAAATTATTTTCTTTTGAGTAATTGGTTCTTATGGTCAGTAGCTTTTTCCTGTTTCATTTTGGGACACGGAATGAAAATTTCATCTACGATGGGGCATTCCGAGAATTGAACTCGGGACCTCTCGCACCCTAAGCGAGAATCATACCACTAGACCAAATGCCCATGCTGACAACCTCAAACGATCTAAGTAAATATACAATATAGAAATCAATAGTTACGATTTTCTTGTGCTATGCCATGTTCAGTCTTACAGATAATTTATTTCGACGAAATTCGTCCGAGAATAGTAATTTATATAAGATGGTTGATTAACCATGCTTTAAAAAAAGGAGAAATTAATATTTCATAAATTTTAACCTAGTTAACAAAAAAAAGGATTTTCATATGTTAATTTATTATTTGTGTAAACGAGGACCTGAATTTTTATATTTGGTATGTTGACTAGTTTTTATCTCTTAAATTATATGTGTGTGTGTTTCTTTATATATATATATATATATATTGTAACAATTGTTTTTAATTTTCAACCATGTTTTGGTTCATCTGCTAACGTAACAATTTACATTAATCTAACCATTATCTTTAACGTTATTAATCATCCTGGTGTATGACTAACACATGTCAACTTAAACATTTCACTGAACGAAATAAAAGGAACAAACACCTACATAAACAAAATTAAAGACGAAGCATTTGATTGCGAAGATTAGACAAGTTATTTCATATAAATAAATAAGTAAACGTGTAGTTGCAAAGAAAATATTTATATTTTTCACTATAAAAATAAAATGTTTCGTAACACCCTCTACTCTTTAAATAGTAGCCTCATTTTTTTTATACGGGTGGATTTAAAAATCTTAAGCGTTTATTCCATGAAGAGTCAAGGAATCAATCGTATCTTGTATGAACAAAAATATTCAAAGATATCACTCATGTGAAGTTTTGGTGGCAGCTCAATTTGAAGATCTAAGAGAATAAATGACGGGTATGTTTGGTTTGCTATGCTTATGAAAATCCCCTTCTCTAGCCGGTTAGAAGAGAAACAAATAAAAACATGCTTCTATTTTTGTGTTTGTATTTGAATTTACAAGTATTTAAAAAAAAAATTATTTTTATTTTAAATTATTTTTTATAATTTTGAATTGTCATGATTTGTTGATGTTACAAGTAAAGTTTAAAAAATTAAAAATTATTTTAATATATTTTTAAATAAAAAAATATTTTTTAAAAATAACTAGTTTTACCGCATGTAATCATAAGCGAAACAAAATCGATACCTTCTTTTTTTTAGATTAATGTGGGTGTCCGGGTTAGCTTGCGTGCACTACGATTAATCCAACGAACCCTGAAGTTAATGACCATGTAAGTTTCCAGTGGCCATCACATGAGTAACTAAGGACTCGAACCTGAGACTATAAAAGGAGCAAACCTCTTGATTCTAAATTTTTATCACTTGATCATCATTTAGATAATTAAAATCGATATCTTTTAAATCAAAAAATAACTTTATTATGAGTTAGTTGACATTTTTTGTTCCAGAGAAACTTGTAAAAGCTCGTGCATGTTTTTCATGTTTTAGGATTTTTTTATGGAAAAATGAAATTTTAATTTAATAAATATTTGTCATGAAAAACTACAAAGTTGAATACTAATTCTTAATTTAAATTCCAAATGTAGGATTTAACCTATATAATAAATAAATCATATTTTAAATAAAATAAGAGAATATTATATATATAAAAAAAAAACTAAAAGAAATCAGCTTTATACCGTGGCTTTAAACTCATTTTATTTTGAATTGAAACAATGTAGTGTAATAACGTCCAAAGCCTTCTTTACAAAAAAATGAGGGGTAATGGCATTCCAGTGCTTGGTCTAGTGGTGGAAGGGGCTTGTCTCCTTTCACTGCATCTGGGTTCGAGCCTTGGCATACACTCCTATCGTTCCCGTGGTGCCTTACATGCCTACTGGGTTTGCAGGGTATTCAGTGGGCTGTAGAGATTAGTCGTGGTGCGCGCAAGCTGACCCGAACACCCCACGTAAATTAAAAAAAAAATAAAGGGTAATGCTTATGAATGTATTTTTATACTTTTATACAGTGTAATGATTTTTTTACCACCTAAACCACTTTTATACAGTGTAATGATTTTTTTACCGTCTAAACCAAAATATATTTTAAAAATATATTTTTAATTAAATTGATCTATCTTAAATTTCACCTTGTTTTAATTTTATTATCCATGTTTGCCGTATTTGTTTATTGATTTTTTTCTAATTTTATTTTTTATCATTTTAATTTTTAAAAATTGATAATAATAAATTTTTTTATATTCTTTTTATATAATCCCAAGTCGTTATTTTTTTAAATACAATTGTAATGCGTAGAGATCGTTTCTTTACATTTAAAAAATAAATAAATTTAGTAGTCTTGCCCGCAGCGAAGCAAGGATTTATAGGAAGTTAGAAAATTACTCCCACTGGAAAATTATGCAAGTCCACGAGATTTATAGGAAGTTAGAAAATTACTCCCCCTCCCCCGCACTGATAACAATACTCCTGTAAACTGACATAAATGCCCCTGAAAGACTATCATCTCAACCTATGGGCGGGCCGTGATCAGTCATCTTGGAAAATTATGCTAGTCCACGATGACCATGACCCAGAGGTGATTTCGCTCTCTTCATCACGATGGCCACCATTAAAAAGGAAGAATTTGAAAGAAAGGCAAGGTGCAGATGGTCTCCGTAACGGCCAGGGATGAGAAATGAGGCACAATTTACCACCTGCCAAGAAGACAGCATCCATCAAAACAAAAAAAATAGAACTTTGACCATACAGTGGATACATTCTTAAGAAATAAAAAAACCGAGCTACGACTAAAGTCTAAATGTCGAACAGGTGAGATGCCTTCCAGACAAGCTTAATAGCAACGAGTAGGGTTGAGAAGATTAACAAAGTTAACAGATCACATAACAGCAAACCAGCCGGCGATTAAAGAAAGAAACGCAGCAGTGAAAAAGAGAGGAGAAAAGTAGCGATTCACCAGCGAGCACGGCCACGACAAAGGCCCAAACGCGTAACTCGATGGTAACACTTCTCTCAGTATTCTACGAATCATGGCGAGGGAGCGTGCTATGTTTGATTCATTAATCTGAAGGATAATGTTCGAAATAAAAACCTGGATGCAAAGGTTTGGAGCCTTTTAGAGGGAGGAGCGAGGAGGGTGAAAAACAGGGCTTTTTCAAGGGTATATTTGTCAATTAAAAAATAAAATAAATAGTGGGAGCGCTATTATAAGTTGAGGGAGTGCGGATATCACTTCCTTTGGAACAGTCCCAGACATGATCAAGTTCAGATTTTTTTTCTTACAAAAACTTCCCTCCATGCCGTAACACGCCAATCTATTGATTGAGCTATCATTTCATTGGATAACATTTATTATTTTATAAATAAATATTAAAAAATCGAAAGCACTGAAAAGGTAGGTTTCTTTTTTAAACAAAATGTTTTTCTTTAACTGAATACCAAGAACAATCGATATCACTTGTAGATAATCTCTTGAAAGACTGTCATGTGTCGGATTAAAAAAAAAAAAAATCCATAATAGAAATGTTTTTTCCTTTTCAGCAGATGCGCTCCTGGGTTAGATATTATTATTTTTATAACCTTATAAAAATTGTAAAACTAATAGGAAGTCAAAAGTTTGATAAATAATAAATAAATAAATTTTAAAATATTGAGATGGTAATACATGAGATGATATTTTTTTAAAAAAATATTAAAATATTAGCTTATTAAATCAAATAGAATCAATCATTTTTAACCCATGAAATTCTTGATATAGGGTAAGGGCTTATGATGATACTTGAAATCCAAATCAAAATATAAGGCCTTTCAAACCATTGTTTTTAAAGAAAAAGGAAAAAATTGAGACTCTAGTAATTGATTATATTGAATTTATTAAACTAAATTAATTTAATAATATAATTAAAAAATAATAATAAATAATAAATAAAAAGACTGAAATAACCTATATTATTTTTTAAATTAATGAAAATTATATATAAACAAAAAAAATAAATATCCAATAATTAAATGCTAAATAATAAAATTAAAAAAAATATAATATAAAAAATAAAAAAACAAATAATTTTTCTACCTCACACCACACAATATTATAGGTTAAATATTCTTTTTATAACCTTAAAAAATGTTAAAATAAATGGAGGTAATGACATTCTAGATAATATTTTTTTTTGAAAGTAAATATTGAGCAATTAATTTCATTTAATTCAAAAGCATTCTTTAAAAATAAGCTGAATTTAATAAAAAAAATATATTAAAAACCCAGATATAATTCAAATAATTTTTAACAATAATGAAAAATCATATACATATAAAAAAAAACTTAAGTTACAAGGTTTTATATTTAGTTAAATTAAATATCAAATGATGAAATTAAAAAACATAATTAAAAAAAAAATAAAAAATTTAATAAATTAATTCAGAAAAATGTTTTAAACCTAAATTAATTTTTTAAACTTGCAATCTTTAAATTCTACACTTGGGGTTCGATCCCCGGCAACGGCCAATCTTTTTACTCCTTCATTCACATTTTGCCCCTTTCATAGAAAGAAAGCGTAATGCACACTCTTATTTACACCGTGACACGTAGTGTAAAATCCAAAAAACCGTCCGCTCTCTTTGTCCAAACGAATCGTCACTCTCACTCTTCCTCTTTACCTTTTCGCAACTTCCTTCCCCATTTCCTACGGGGAGAAGCTCAAAAGCAGCAATCAGTCACTCAAGGCAATCCCACAATTCCCCACATAAACCCTCCCCCGATTTAACACTCCATCCCTCTTCACTATCCGATCTCTCAATTTCAAATCCAAATGGCAACCAGCATCCATATCACCGCCTTAGACGGGATCGTAAATGTGAACTCTCTCTTCACACTCGCCGTCTTCATTGGCCTAGCTTGGGACCCAACTGATCCCACCAGCACTCTTATTGGCCCCAATGACCCCATCTCCTGCACTCCAACCCGCAAAATCGCTGAAGATTTGATCGCCTTCCACGTCTACTCATTCAGCTCCTTTCTCTTCTCTAGCCTGATCGCTCTTGCTCTTAAACAAGCTATCAGGGTCGCTAAAACTTCGAATCACACTCATGGAAATTATTTGCAGGCGGCGGAGCTTATGTTAGCGCACGTGAATAAGAATTTGATTCGGGTTGGGATGTTGGTTTCGGGTGTTGGGTCGGTTTGTGGATGCGTGTTCTTGATGCTGGCGCTTGTTAATGTTGTTCAGTTAAAGCTTGGGAGTTTTGGTTGTGGAAACGGACATGTTTATGCTGCTGTTGTTCCGCTTGTTATTTTGGTTCCTGTTGCCCTTTTGGTTTATGTTTCAATTGTTTTGTACGCTTTTACTCTCTAGTTGTGTTAATATAGTATTTAATGTTGTGTGATTTATGTGAGAAGATAATTGTATCCAATGAAATGAAAAATGGAAGTGTTTCTTCCATGTTGTAGGCTTTCCGATATGTAATACATGTGCAAGTTGGTTTTATTAGTGGACTTGAGTAGTGATTTTAGTATGTTTTTGTGATTTGTGTTACGCAGGCTTAAATTGTTTATAGAATGATGCTATTCGTCTTCAAATATCATAACAAATCAGTGTGCCCGATAACATGCGGAGTGCAATGGATAGTTCGAGATAAATAGGATCACTGTTGTTTGTGCTTGTTGCATCATCCGCATGATATCAGGGTCTGTGTTTTCTTTTCCTTATTTTAATGTTTGCTTGGGCATAATTTAATGTAGGCGGTGTAATTAATCATTAATGATAGGTGCGATAAAAAAGGTGGGTAATGTTTTGGAGTTGTTTTGGCAGAAAGAGGAAGTAGAAAAGCGGGAGGCTTAATGATGGTGAGATGGACTAGTAATCTTGGGTTGAGTTATGACTAGAGAGCAGAATTAAGGAGATGTGGGATCATGCTTCCACTTATATGGATGTTGATTTCTTAGCAGGTTAGTGAGAATAGTCCAGTGATATGGGATAGGCAATTAGTGTAAGATGGATGAGCAATCGTGCAAGAAAGTCTAGAACGTGGAACCATGTTGCAACAAGCAAGGGGAAGCATTTATTAAGGTTTCCTGTGGCAGGCTTGTGTCAAATATAACTTGTAAGGTAATACATTTACAATCAAGGAGCGAGTTGAAACGGAAATGGCAATACGCTATTAGAGGATGAACACTGTTCATTGAGTATAGACGATTAAGGGTGTAAAACTTGAGGGGTTTTTGTTTCTTTCTTCCCCTAGTGTAAATCATTAAGGTTTCAGTTTAATGGCTCTCTACTTCCCTGGATAAGGACTATACTGCTATTTCGTAATCGGAGTACAATCAGGCGATAGAAAACCCTTAGATTCTTTTAATGGGGGAAAAAACGTGACATCAATGATGCTGAAAGATGGTAGATGATGTTTTGTCCTTTGGTGGATCCTCATTAGGATGATCCTAGAACTTTTAGCTGACAAAATGAGCTGTGCCTTGGTTCGTATGATCGCTGGTTGTCTACATATTCCTAGTTTTCATTTATTGTCTCCTGTTTGTCCTGTGGGTATGATCTATTTGGTCTTCACCTCCAGTACTCTTTGCTACCTCACCAAAGTAAGCTATATTAATTTAACATTTTTGATAGGTCTTGAAGGGCCTATTGTGAGATATGATTGGGGTGATGGAGAGGGGAAAATGTCTTGGAGGTATCTGAAAAGAAGAAATTGCTGCTCTAGACTTTGTCGAACTCCAATTAAGTTGAAGAAAAACTTTTATATCAACAGTTTGAAATACATGATGCTTTCAGTGCTAGTGTGGTATCCAGTTCGAAGAGCAGAAGTGAAGGAACTGTAAGGCTGTGAGTGCAGCTGTTTGATTGATGTTGCGTAGAAAGAAGATGGAAATGATTTGATTAGCCTTTATCGTTTTTTTCCCTCTGTGAAGGATAAATGCATTTTGTTTCTCCTCTGTCAAGAATTCGAAGTTGCCTACATGATGGAATTGACAGTGGATTCTGATGAAGGCCAGTGATTCTATACTTGCAGTAAAGAGATTAACATTTAGCGTTCTGTCTTTTTTATTGTCACATACCCAAATAAATATTCCGGGGAAAAAGGTCAGCGGGTGCGATCGATCATTTCTACAAGTGTTGTATTCTGGTAAGCTACTCTTGGTCATGTGGTGCCTTGCACTACTACCTTTTACTTCAGAGCATTTGGAGAGGAAACTCGGAATCTTTCACGGTAGTGTGAACATTAGAGGGCAATAACGATGACATCTTCTTAGATTTGAGTACACTGCTATGCTGTCAATTGCTCATGAAAAACTCCCATTTTCCCCTTTGAGAAACACTAAAAAGCAATGGAATGGTTCCGAAGACTTTTATGGAGCACTTGCCGTCATTGGCTAAAATTTACCAGGTAAGTTTGGAATACAATGTGGAAGGAGTAGGTATTGCAATAAACAAAATGACCTTTTACTTGTAGTGCTACTTTCACTATTGTTTACGGGATTCAAGTGCAAGCACCATTCAGCTGCTAGTTCAAGTATAAAATCCTGCGAGGTGGAGCATTACTTGTGCTCTGCATTGAAGAAATGGCAACTCCAATGAAGAACATTTGCTTTGTTATGTTTCTTGCAACTCTCAGCATTGCTTTGTTCAATCAAGTTGACGGGGCTGGTGAATGTGGGAAAACCACTACTCCTGACAAAGAGGCATTCAAGCTGGCTCCTTGTGCATCAGCAGCACAGGATGAGAATGCTTCAGTTTCTAGCCAATGCTGCGCCCGGGTTAAGAAAATTGAACAGAATCCAGCCTGCCTATGCGCTGTTATGCTTTCGAGCACAGCTAAGAGCTCTGGAATCGACCCAGAAATTGCAATGACAATTCCCAAACGTTGCAACATTGCTGATCGTCCTGTGGGCTACAAGTGTGGAGGTAGGTTCACAAATTCCCTCTGTTTCAAGTCTTCTATATTTCTTCCTGTTGCCTTTCTCTTGTTTTTCTCAGTATCAGTATGATTTATTGACTACTATTGTAACCGTTTAAATTTGCTTCTTTTCTCTCTCTTGCAGCTTACACTTTACCCTGAAGAATGAATAGCATGAACAGCGCTCCCCCTGTAATGTACTACCAACCTGCTGGAGTTCACATCCTTATTGCTAGTTCTTCTAGCTACCAAATTTAATGTAACATCCAGACATCTGAATAATAAATAAACTGTTGGTGTTTAATCTCCTTTGGACCGATCAATTGCGTTTTGTTTTCGTTTTTTATTTTTGCCAGCAGATTTTCTTTCTTTCTAATGTAAATTAGTCCACCGCTCACTGCCTTAGTTCTTCGACCAGCCGGACAGGCCGTGTTTTACACCTACAATTTGATGGCATGAAAATAGAAAAGGGAACTCCTCTGCGCAAATGGGCTTGAATATCATGGAAAGAAGAGCATGGGTCTCAAAAGTGCTCTATTAATCGGACTTGCAGGCTCTGTGGATCAACAACCTTTAAAACTAGTAATGAGTGGCCATTAGATATTCGTGCTGGCAAGCCAGTAGGTGTCAGCGAGAGGGCCCTCTGGTAAAGTAGCAGTTCGAGCAAGAGAGAAAGTAGCTTATGAAAGAAAGAGATAAGAACTATGACTTAAACGATTTCTGTCTTACTTTCGGTAACTTATTCAACCGATGGATGAGAATGAAAGAAGGTTGATCTTTTTTTAATCGAGATTCTTGGGTGAGTCTTCCATGGGGGGGAAGCTTTTCTTATTCCGAAAGAGTGCTAGAAGCTATAAAACTCCCAAGGCAATGCCTGCTTGAGATACCCGATTCAAGAATAAAAGACAGTTCTTCTCGAATCATGTGTTTAAATAATTAACAAGGCAGGCGCAATCATGATCTACACGTCTCTACCATTTCCAGTTGCTGATTTGCAGGGAGCAATTCTAGTTCATACAAGTTAATATTTCTCCATTTATACTTTCTGAATTTAGTCAATATCTGTCACAGCAGAAGCTATAATATGGCACAAGCTTGAATTTGAACAGTACGATTTTTTAGAGGGAGAGAATAGAATTACAGCATAACAGTCCAAAGACAGGTAGAATAATATTTAGTTCATGACTGGACTACTTAACGGATTTGGTTAATATACAAGATTCCGCAAGGAGTGAAAGCATAAAACTCCCACAGCAATAGATATTAACTCGTGCATACAACTAGTTGGGACAAAAAGAACCCAACAACATGCCTCCTTGTCCTGCCTTCCATATTAAGCTGTACTAGTCTTTACTAATCCCTATTAGTTTCTTAGTTCCATGGTCTATATTGAGGGATCTCATAGTCATAATTCCTGCATCGAATTAAACAAACACCATTAATCATCTGAATGGTCTGTAAAAGGCAAAGAAGAAGAGTAATATGCATATTTATGCAAAGAAGAGAGAGCCAACATGCAGGTGAATTACAATGTTCTGGTTTTTTTTATAATATCAATTTTCTGATGCCTTCAAACGTTGTCTTACGATAATATTTTCTTTCCTTTTGAGAAATCAAGAGTGACTAGTATATGCGAGTAATTGATTACGAAATTCTTAAATGGATGCACAATGGATCACTAATTTTGCGCACCTCAATTTGTTGGTGTTCTGCACTTGATAAAATGGGGCTAGATGCCTAATAATAGAGTGAACCTGCAAAAATGCATCGGATCAAAATTTATAACACTGTCATAAAATAACATCACAATACCACATATTTACAACTATACAGCTATCATACCCTGCCACCAGTTCCCCCTTGAAGCACTGTTCGGATCGTTGCCATTGGGATCTTCCTGTTCATCATCTTTCTTGAACTGTTCAAGGGGAAAAAAGGGAAAAAAGAAAAAGTCAGCTATCACTTCAACAGCAATAAGAGTAAAATAAAACAAGCTGTCATGTTCCATTATTATTGTAATGCATCTTATGATGCATGATCAGTATTGGATGACATACTCTTAACTTCCACACTCGTATTAGTTTATCGACAAATTTACTACTCACAGCATGTTGATATTCTGAGTTCTTGGTTCTTGGAGAATAGTTCTCTTGACCACCGTAGTAGATTGACGAGCTGAGGTAGCATGGTTCTGGTGTTTCATTCTGAAAAACTACACTCTTGCCTTTGCCACTGCCCTCTCCCTTGGCTTTCTGAGCGACATTATCTGAAAACAACCAAAAATTATATAGCATCCATATCAAGCCTACAGCACTGATCAGAGAACAACCTACAAGAGAGTAATTGTGCAATATAAATTATAATGGAGGCATACTTTCTGCTCTAGCAACAAAAAGTTTTGATCACATACCTCGATTCGCATATTTTCCCCTGCCACCATGATTTTCCATAATTCCAGAGTCCCTCCCAGCTGGCACCTGAATCGGAACAGTTAAAAGATGGAAAATCTCAGCACTTTCAACAAGTACAACAAAAACTGTAATGTTCTCTCTGTTTCTTTTATCAGAATTATAATATCGATCCAGGAGACAAACTCACAGCACTCCATTTACAGCACATGTAGTACTTCAGTTATATATGAAATGGAGTAGCTATCGATACTTATTTTTATCTCTTTTTATGTGGATATTGATGTGATTTTTCTTTTATTTTTCATATTTGTCTCTCTTTTCAAATCAAGTCCATTGAATAAGTATTGCTAATTACTAATTGAGTATTTTGAGATTTCTCACCCCTACCTTCTTAAGCTAATAATTATTACAAAAGGGATTCTTTCTTTTCTATTCTATGTCTTTTGCTTAACATCCCTTTTTCCTTGTTATGTTAATCTTTTTAGTTACTTTGCTACCTCCGCAACTAAATATGGCAACAAAAACCAGGAGAACCATGGAAACCTTGCATTCTAGTTCGTCATTACTGATTGTTGGGCTGATGGCGAGAGGGCAAAACCCCCATAATATATAGCACCCGGCAACGCATGCATAAAAGTCCAACAAATTAAAGAAGGTCGTGAAGTGTACCTTTGATGGATGAGGAAAAATGGACTCGAATATCCCACTTGAGGCGGATGATGAAGAGGAAGAGTCTTTAGGACCAAAAAGATGATCAAAAGAAGAAGCAACGACTTGCCTTTTGTTTTCCATGCTAAGACAGATTTTTTAACCTTTCTTTGTCAACCAACGAACAAAACTACTCTTTAGCAGTCTACAACAACGGCCACACTAAAACGAAAAGACACCAAACAAAAAGCCTCGGAGCAAACTCTACTGACCCCAAAAGGACACCCAAGAAAACAACACAGATAGGTAGCAGCAGTAGATAAGGTTTGCAGTTGCAGAGTGAAAACGAAAGAAGGAAACAAACAGATAAAGAAAAACTTCGAAATGCAAAGCACGTGAAGATTTGCGGTTGTGGGATATAATGCAAAACGGTCTCTGCTATTTATAAGCCCAAAAAGATGGTGTTTAGAGCCGCTGCTGCGGCTGCAATCCCACGTTCCTCTATTCAATTCTCTACATTTTTTTTTCTATCTTTTGACATATGGGATGCATCCTTTGTGTACAAGTGGACATATTGCCAGCTCCAATTCCTTCATGCCACGTATCCTCCATGCCCATATCTTTGACTCTACTTTTCCTGTTATTTTCTTGCATAAAGATAAACGGATAAGGTCGTTGGCTTGGCTCAACTTGGCCTCCTAGGATATGCTTCCAAACAGTTGACCCTTCATCCTTTTTTTTCCCCACTGAAATTAACTAGATGATAAGAAGATTTACCAACATTCCATGCATTGAAAGATTGATATTATAGACATCTCTCTGCAAAATCTTCCCAGTTTCAATGACGAATATATATTTTGTTCCTAAATCAAAAATATTTCTTTTTGTGAGGGTAAGGTTGAAGCGCTCATGGCTGGAAGGTAGCTGAACCTTTTCGTGTCACCGATGTAATTTCATCATCATTATATTTAGAATCAGGACAACTCAACATTTTTACAAGACGTTGTGCCACAAGAAAATCAATCTCTTCGAGTTTATCTTGAAACAAATTAACATAGTGCTTTGATAGATGAAGTACAGTATTTTGGTGCACTAATATGCTATAATAATTAATGGACGAGAGCATTCCACAAGATCAGGATAATAATATGAATTATGAATGGCAGGGAAAGATAAGGAGTAAAGGCGAGACAGCATAGATTAATGGCTCCCTATAGTCCTATTGACAAATTAGCATGCGTCATGCTTGGGTTTATGGTAGGTGTAAATTTTTATCTTGGATTCGAGATGGGCAATAATGCTAATCTTGGATTTGCTAGGAGAGGTTTTTGATTAATAGATTTTGGCATTTTCCTTATTGACAATAATATTTGTGGCTGGTGGCATGAGGTCGGCTGCCTAGATAAACACCCAATTTTCGAGATAAGGTTCTCCTGTCTGAAGCCAAGACAATTAAAGAGAGCAGAGAAGATGATAAATCCCATGCTTAATCCTATGCTTAGGCTGGACTATTGCGGCTCAAAGCAGTGAGCCAGAGCATTGCCGCATTATTGCCTTTGAAAATACAGATATAGCCACCAATTTGCTCGAAAAGATCCATGTGAGATTAATTAAGAGATCCTTGATTGATTGATTAGCCCCTGAAGGGACGTCGTTAATCTGAGCGCCGAGCGTGGATTCACTAAATAAATTCTCGAGGATAAAGGAAGATATATTTATTTAAATGAGGGTCATGTGGGGTGCTGATACTGTAATTCCAAAGATTTCGAAGGCATAATTCTTTTATTGGATAGAAGAGGATAAGCTCATTTAAAGTACTGTAACTTTTCAATCTAGCGGGACATCACTCACAAGAGTCTTGCTAGGGCTAGTCCCTAATTGGGCCCGGTTTTGTGGCAAACATACGTTCCACTTATCCGCGTTTTTACCTTTCTATGATTTTAAATGACGCTACTCCTCCTCATTATATGCACCGAAGAATTTGGCAGAGAAAGAATCTCAATTTATGAGGTCCATGTTAGCTAGTAAAATCACTACATAAACTTGAATCATATCGATTAAAACAGTATGATATATATATATATATATTATATAGTTCACGTAATAAGTCTAAAAAAAATCATAGTACAAACCTAGAAAAATGAAAGTTATTTATTTATTTATTAATGTTTGGGGCTAGCCGCTTAAAAAATAATCTTTAAATCATGACTCTAAAAAAATTATAATTCAAAAATCATGCTAAATAAATCTTAAATTAAACAAAAACTACTTTAAAGCAAGTTCATATTTTGCTGAACGGGCAGGTCCTGCTAGCTGAGTTTGGCTCTCAAGGATATAAAGTAGGGGGAAAAAAAACAAGAAGAAGCAAATTCTTTTTAATTAAATTTCCGCGTCAACCGGGAAATTCCCGGCATTGCAAAACGGCGAGAATATATTCTCTTGCAATAAAAGTAAGAAGCTAGATGAAATGTCAACTGCTGCCTGGACCTCTTTGTGACATTACTGCAACAGAGAATCAAATCGCTGGTCAAATTCCACACAATTGCAAAGAAAGGTATATACATATACGTTTCTATTTTCTAGAACCTGTGGCGGAGACGAAAGATGATTTTGAATTCGTTGTTGATCGAATCAGGTTGCTGATTTCTGTAAGTTGTTGGATCTGAAGGTTAATTTTGATTTCAAGCTCTTTGCAAATATTCTTATATATATCGATAAATCAAGAATATTTGTCAGTGGATGATAGGATTGACTAATGCTCGAGGGTTGAGTCTGTTTAACCAAGGAGCTGGATCCCTGAGAGAGAGCAACTAGTCAAATTGCAAGAAGCTGCTAAGAATCATATATTCCAGCTTTTATTGATACTGGAATATAAGCCAAACTTTCATATTGCAAGCTTTGACAAACGTGATTTGTAAAATTTCTGTGTTTGATAAATTTAGTTGACATTTGGATTCTCGAAACTGCATGGACCACCATCACAGCTAGACTCCAAATAAATCTGTAATTGTCTTCGATGAAAATGAAAATGAAAATGAAAATGAAAGCATTTAGTTCCCCAGAGGACCACTTGAGCAAAGTTTTAGATCGCTTCATAAACATAAATCAGAAAGTTTAGAATTCTCAGTCTTAGAGATCTCATGTTTAGCTTACCATGGATCAAATGATTCAAAACTGTTCATGGTTGAAGGGGATGCTTCCTTTGAATTTCTTGCTGGTTTTAGAATTGTAACTATTTATGCCGCACGCAGGTTAGGTATTTTTATTTTTATAAAAAAATTATATATATATAGAATTTTTCAATGTATTTATGTAATTTAAAAAATTTAATTTCAAATAAAAATTTAAACTAAGATTTTTTATACTAAGACTTGAATAAAGTTAAAATAGATTAAAAGATGAAAAAAACATTCCAATCCTGAAATTAAGGATGTAAAGATGACGTTACGGTGGTTTGTCATTCTATCATATGATTGTTCGTCTAAATAGTAAATAGTAAATACTAAATTTTACTTTTCCCTATATATATATTACTCTCCGGCCTTTTCTTGTTAAGAGAATACGAATAAGTAATTTCTGGGATATAATTAAAAACTTCTTGTCGTTGGTTTTTTCCCTCTCAATCAAGAGATCCTATGTTCAAAATCTAAAACGGTGGGCAGGGACTGCAACCTGTCAGGAGGCCTAGGATTTATTTATTATTATTATTATTTTGATAATTCAAGGTTTTTAGCTAGTTTATGCATATTACAATTAATTATCAATCTTATTAAACACCTTGTAAATCAAATGGACATATAAAACATTACAGAGATAATAAATATACATAAAAAAATTAAAATTAAAATTAAAATCTAAATACAAAGAAAAAAATAAATTTATTTTCTTGTTAGGCCACGACCTCGGGTACAAGTATAGAGTTTATTAATTGGATCTCAAGTGAAAGCCTATAGTTTATTAATTGGATTTCTGGTGGAAAAAAAAAGTGTTAATTATTGCAGCAACGTTGGTACGAGTAAATTAGGGGAAGAAAGATAATATTTATTTATTAATTGAATTAATTAGCTCTCTTTTATGGTTTGGTTGCTAGAGCTATCATCTATTTTGTGGGTAATATAAAGCATGTTAATGATATAAAAAAATGCATTGCATCTTGAATTCCAAATTAAAACTAACCGTAGAAGATTTCTTGCTTCAAAACTTCGATATTAATCTAGATTCCATTATTTTTTCATTGCTACTCATGACCTTAATAAAACACGAATTCAATAACATATTGTCGACTTTCTCATTAAAGAAAAACACGTTGTCTCTGTCATAAATTTCTTCTTGAGAAGTTTATTAAAACTACACTTTGTTATCTGATATCAATAATACAAATGCCACAGTTGTTTTTTGAGTGCACACCGATTAGGCGCGGGGGACAGCATATTTATTAAGAAAACGAACTGCATATACCTATCCATAAACGAAAATAGTGTAAGTGTAACAAGAGCATAAAGACTTGAAAGCGAAAGCATATGGAGTATTAATTAATTAAATCAGTGGGATTTCCATGGATGGCACTTCAGCTTTGGGCATGATGACTCCCATGAGCTTCTGCATTCTCCTTTCGCACCATCACAACACTTGCATTCCAGTCCCAGGGTGGCAAAAAACCTTTTTGAATTTCCTGTTATGAACAACACAATGCTGTTGCTACAATTCCAAACAAACCAGATCGAGACAACGTACAATCAATTTAGTATAGATATATTTTTTGCTTACCTAGTTGAAGCGTCAATGGCCTGGCTTCCACCGCTCTAGGATATTGAGATATGGTAAAAATGAGCAATAACAGCAAGACAGAAGCTGCAAGATGTCTGGGCGCATCCATTTCTCTCTAATATTCTAATTGACAACCTTGGTAATAGTTGCTTAAGCAAATTGCAGGGATATTATACGAGGGACGTTACAAGCATTTGCACAAGATTGTAAGAGATACATGTATATATATATATATATATATAGATGGATAGGTAGATAATAGACAAGCGTGAGCCAACAGAGGGTTCTATTTCGGTAATGAAGGCTGGACGAATGATAGCCAACGCGTTTACACCACTACATGTGTGAACCAAGGGTTAGATCGAGGTCTTCCTTTCAGTCAATTAAATAAAAAAAAACTCTTCAATTTCTGTTCAGCATGAGAAAAAGAAATTTATATTCTGTTTCCACAAGCTTTTCAGTTTCGATTTTTCTTTAACAACGTAGGGTTAAAAACATTCTAGGGACAAAAAAGGTTAGAAACAAAAGCCTACACCACATACATACATTGAGTACGTGTAAGTACTGAACAGTAATTTCCCCCCCTTCATGCCATCAATTCGCCTGTTGTTTTCTGATTGTGAAATATTTTGACCGGGAGGCTCATACATAGTCCCACGCTTAACTTTTAAAAAACAAAATCAAACAACCTCAAAAACATTGTGAGTCATTTGCGAGGAGGCCAATGGCAAGACCGGAA